AAGTAAGACAAGTAAAAACTACAGTCTTGCACACTATGTCCCTGATAGCCAAGCTGAAGTTACATCGGCCCCAAAAATGTCTGAGTTTGGCCAACAGTGTCCTGACGTTCTCGGTTCGGGAAGTGATTTCGTCTTTTATCATACCAGCGCGTGGATGAACTTGTCTACCTCACTGATTGTTCAACCTGCAACCATGAGCTTTTAATTTGATTCTACCTGATCTTCAGCAACGGTGCACTCTCCAGGCTCAGGTGCGTACCGAAACAAGCAGAACTATTCAGGGTTCAAAGCAGAATGCGTCCAGCAAGTGACGAGAAACCTGAAAAGCTAAGAAACACTGTACAACCGCTTCATCCCTATTGAGAATAACCAGCAATGCGCACTTCACCAAAATTAAGGAAGTCTCGAACTCGCGACATCCGTGTTGTTGGTTTGAACATTTAACAGCATTCTGTTCCGTCTAGGTGCGAAGCAGCCTTGCAGTGCTTCTCGGCTTTTCAGTGTCGATTGCCTTAACTTACGGAACGAAATCTCCATTACAATTTCAAACTCTCCTCAACATCAACAATGATACAAGTTATTCAAGATGGTTTGTATCCCTGTAAGTGTGAATCCAGAAAACGGACAGAGTTTCTGACGGCCAACAGGGTCAACGCAACTTTGATATCCAGAAAAACGTCTATTGTCTGTCGTCGGATGGAGCGACGCAGACTAGACATTTGTAGCTTAGTGGTCAATGCAACCAAGACCTGACCCCCCAGAAGATGAATCAACTTGCATAGCATAATACCAGAGATCACCTTCAAAACTATAGCCAGTGAACTAGTGTCACGGCAATCTTAACAAATTGTTCTTGCATGTAACGTGGGAGTCATGTCGACTGTGTCTGTATTGTTTTCACTCCACATACTTTGGAGTAAATTCTTTATGTTATCCATGACGGTTTGGCCACTTTCTTCAAGGACTGCAATGCAGACCGTCTGGACCAGGTGCTTGTTGTGCTGGAGCAATAAACTTGCAAGCTGGATTCCCATACTGCTGTGGATATTCCATTAGGATTGATATGGTTATTTTAGAGATTGAGTTAATACAGGCCAAAGGAACTGTTCTTCAGCGTTCTCAACCCGCCATTGGATACAACTTTTCTGCGAAAGAGAAATCCTTTCGTCTTTTGAAGGTCCTTTTGGTCCTTTTTGAGGCAAGCTGAACTCGTATTGAAAGTGTTCAGCTTATCGTCTAAAATGGCAATCCCGTGACTGGACTTAAGATTCATCCACTTGAGAGACCGCTTCACTAACATTCATCCTCCTGGGGACAATTTATAGGATTAACTGGAACAGTGTATAATTGATTTCCATGGAAAATGCTTTCTCCATTTCTTGGGGTTTCGAGATTCATCACCAATCTCTGTCAGTCCTTAGGCCCCCCGTGCACTTTATCACAGTCGTTTGTTACTTGTATAACTTTCTTGGCTTCAAGGAAGGTGGCATGTCGTGACGAGGTTCAATGTTCATTCGGCCGGGCCAGCGACTTCGGTTGGACAGTTTCAAAGGTGGTGAACATGGCTTATTTCGATCTCCAGCTGTCATCCAAATAGCTATTGGTGCCAATGTCCCCATTGAGTTCCGGTAGCTTTTCAGTCAATTCAACTCTAGATTTCTGAACTACGGAAACGCCTTGCATGTGCTGAACTGAATGGCCCTGCGCTACCCGACTTGTTCGAGAGAGGAAGAATATATATATGCATGCTCACACAATGCCATGTCCAGAATCAAGTGGTGTACGACAACCTAATATCGAAGATCTCCATCGGTTATTGATTATCATATGGTCCAAATGAATCTATAAATGGTTTGCTTTTGGTGGCATCAGATATCACGGTGTGCGTCCTTTTGCTGAGAATTTTGCCGGTTTGAAACAGATGATATTTAGCACGAGTAAAAAAAGTCATTCCTCACCAGTCGGCGTCCAGCCGGTCGATTTGGGCTGACCTATCATAATAACGGTATTGCTGACCGAAGCAACCATGAAAAATATTTCCCCCTCAACCTAAGACCTATCGTCTCTCGTAGAGACCGTTTGAGTCGTTGGGATGCATTGGGCTAGTCATCCTAACACAGAAAAGATAACAGCTCATTGGAATTTAGTCCTATGAAGCAAATTCAGCCTAGGGGCTCGGTGAAACTTTCACGCTGTAGATATCACAGGCGACTTCATTAGGATTACCATATGAAAAGTAAAATACTTCTCAAGCGGTGTTAGAAGCATTGTTGAACTGAAGTCTTGCAAGCGTGTTTTGGAGCCGCAACATACATAGGTCGAAGGAGAAAACATACTCTGAGCAAAAGATGCCTGCTGCCAAAGCTGACGAAGAAAAAGGAATTTGAAAGCCACAATATGAAAAATATTTCAAATTTAATAGGGGCTTATTTTCATTCACTCTACTGGACAGAATTTACTATACGAAGCAATGGTTAACTTATTGACGGTCAAGTGAATCAGGATGTCTCAGGTAAGCGGTGTGTGAGGAGGAGACAATGAACGAAGATCTATAGTGATGAATGATGCTTACCGGTTGCTAAGGCCAAAGGAGTGAGTTTGTTTGTGATACTCCAGCCTGAGCCTTCGAATCGAAAGTGTGGCCCAAAAAGCAGCCATAGGATATGAAGTTTAGTTCGGGGACCCTTTCTCTAGTCTCTGACTTAAAAGTCTGCACTACTTTGCAGCGGTCGTTGAAGTGCACTTGAGGAACCCGTTCTGGATAGCTGGAATAGGCTGGTAAGGCCGGAGAGTGTAAGAAGCATAGTATAGATGCTTGGCTATTAATGCTGGTAGCAGCAAACACGTTTGGCCTCATGACTCTGGACTCATTCTTCCTTATAACAGCATGGCAGTAGTTAGGCACCGAACAGATGCTACAACTGGATGATTTCCAAAGCATGACAACTTTCATTTCTTTTTCGACCATACTGGATAAGTTACCAGTGGGTATCGTCTGGCAGTCGAAGTGTGTGGGTTTTGGGGCCTGCCTTTTCCAACATACCATACCTGAGGAAAACCAGCAATACTGTCTCGGCTAAATTGGATGTACCGGTCACTTCTATCGCAGAGGACAGTACAACTTTGCCTCCAATACGCCTCATTGTGTGATCTATCGCAGTACGGGGACTAGCTATTTTTCTGACAGCATACCATACCTGAGGAAAACCAGCAATACTGTCTCGGCTAAATTGGATGTACCGACCGGTCACTTCGCAGAGGACAGTACAACTTTGCCTCCAATACGCCTCATTGTGTGATCTATCGCAGTACGGGGACTAGCTATTTTTCTGACAGCTCACCATTGGCCTCCATGGCATAGCCGAAACTAAAGGAACTGAATTCTAGCCAGTGTAGTCCACAGGATCTTTGAGAAAATGAATCCCGATCACCAAGACAACGTTGCAGTCTTGAGTAGGATGAACTAGATGTAGTGTTGTATCCTTGCTTAACAACAATGATAAAAGTGGATCGAGAATCTACATAAGTCATTCGATAAGGCACTAAATTCTACTGAAGAAATGTACACGCTGCGTCAGACCTACCTAGTCGAAAAAGACGTAATTACTTCTCATCTGGGGTTAAAATAAACCTGAAACTCCATGAGGTTCCCGAGAGGCCTTTGTCGCAGGAATCAGCAAGAACCACATTAAATCTGTGATATCAGTGGAGGATGTTCTAAGTGCTGAATCGAGTATTTCGAACCATACCTCACTTGGTCATCTGCTATTCTCTGCTAGTCTGCAACCTCTAGACTAAAAGTGTTAGCTACTTCTCTGTTCAAATGTAAACGAGCCTCATGATGACCTCCCATTTGCTTCATTCGAGAATGCTGTTTAATTTCTCATTTCGTTTTTGTCTAAATTACTTGCCTGTCGTGGAGAAAGGCGGAGGAAGGAAAGGGTAGCACTGAAAATCCGTCTGTCTCCCGTTGTGGCAAGACTTCAAGCATCAACGATCCATCGTTGTTTAATGCAGAGTAGCGAAGCTGACGAAAAACAAGCGGGATTCGTACCAAAGAGGATCTGAAATGATCCCAGTCATACGTCCTGCCGGGTTCTCGATCAGTGCTACCTGAAGAAGCCGCCCATAACTTCCGCATTCTTTTGCTTTAATATCTTGTTTGACTGTGTCGATTGATTGACTGCCCAGTCACGCCGGACAAGCACGGGGCGTCCAGGACGTGTAATCTGTGCGCATAGTTCTTGGTTTGTGAATAGGGAGGGGAAACCCCCAAACTATTCGTTACAAAAACTGATGTCGCTTTCTGTTCATTTCTAAAATTGTCATCTTGGAATTCTTAAGCACTGCGATGGACGATCGTCAAAACCCCGATGTTCAGATCGTTGAACCATTTTGACGACAGAGCTTTGATTCTTAACGGTGGGTACAGACCAGTTCACCGCTCGTTTTCGACAATCGTATTGCAACCACAAACTGAAAATTTACACCTCAAAATAAGAAGTTCCTCTACAACTCTTCTGCAGCTCAAGAAGGATCGTTGGATTCCCAGCAGTTCCTATTGGCTTTAACGCAAATTTTCGACCAGTTGTGATATATGAATTGAGATCGTTGGGTCTTAATTTTTGTCTGTACTAAAAGACCAGCCTTGCCTTTGTATGGTTTCGAGACACAGACCATCCGGGTGGGATGGTATGAAGCATATTCAGATCTCAGTTAGTGGTGTCTCAGAAGCATCACTGGTGTTGCATGACTCCAAATAACTCCAATCATTCGAAGGTGGATTCTTTGCACAGCTCTGCTGAAGCGCATGTGGGGCACTCAGTCAGTGACTGCGTAAATTGCTGATGTGAAGACTTTTTCATTGGGCTGAGCATTGCTTTTGTATAACCTTTGAAATAACCTATGAGAACATCACAAACGAGAGATTCAGCTGGGTTCCAGGTGAGCCTCTCGAAAAACCAAATTAGTCTGCAAAAGAGTGTATATTCGCTTAATCTATGCCTCAGTTCACTTACACCCGACCAGTGCTTCATAGCTACTCTTTAATCTTTTCCAGTACAAACTTCAGCTGCGACCACCAATCCTACTGTCTTCCAAATTGTTTCGAGCGGCAGCAACATCAGTGTCGGGCCCTGATGAACGGAATCAAACAAGTTTATGGCGCTGAAATTGAGCACAGTTTTGTAAGATCAGTCAGTCGCCAGATTAATACCAATCCGGCTGAAAACGTTGGCCGGTATAATCTGGATGAATCGATTGGTCCTGGTCGTACCAGTCAAGAACAGACAGAAGGTTCAAGTGACACAGACGATTCTTCTCATTTCGAATCTACCGGCGATTTGTCCAGTTCGGATTATGCTGTAAAACATCGCACGCGTTCAGCAAAGGCGGGATCGAAACTAGAGTTTCCCACCGTCCTTTCACATGACAGTCTCAACGGACTCACAAAGACAAGTGATAGTGATGTGGAAACTGGCAGCTGTTTATCACACCGTCTAGGATCGGTAGCTCAACCGGATAGTACAAAACCAAAGACTAGCATTTTCTCAAAAGTGTCCAAACGCAAAGTAAGATTTCGTTAATTTCGCTGTTTTTAACCAGTGACTATATTTCCTCCCGGCGAAATACCGCGTGCAACTAGTTTCTGTTCGGGTCTTGTTGAAGTGAAGATATGTCTTTTGGTTTTCTATAGAGAAAGATGTTGGTAGCTCAGGTAGCGTAGATGGTCGTTGGCTTGTTCGCTAAGCTAGGCTATTTGACTGCAAACGTTTCATCACTAATTGAGATGACCTCATCAGTGAGTTGTCGGTGAGCATAGTGGCACTTAGCGATGCGTTGATGGTTGTGGAATTTGTTAGTTAGAATACAACCAACCAATCCATTTGAAAAGTTATGCTTAAACTTCAAGCCTCGAGCAATCTTTTTTATTCCAATTCTTGAGCTATAATTTTTTACATACTTTTTTCAAGGAACCGCAATTTCCTGGACTTGGCACCCGAAGAGAGAGCACAACTATTCTTGACAAACTACGGCTGCGATCAAGCAACCGTCTGACAGTACACACCGTACAGGACCTCGAAAATCCCGGGCTATCTAGTCTTCTTGGATTGGGTGTGTTAGCGGGAGCAGGGGCTGGACTCCTTCGTGCGTCCTCCAGTAGCGCCGGTTTATTTGGCCTAGCAGAACCAGAAGAATGTGAGACACTTCAAATGCACAGACACCAGACCCGTAGAGTTTACAAACAACCGAATATGACTGAACTACCGATTCAACGCTATATTCTTAACCAGGTGAGTTGCTGGGCCTCTCCCAACATTTACGTGATAAAGGACCATTGCTGAAGAAGCGCCTTACGGAGGTTTTGAGAAGCCACTGAGCAAGAGCAGCTGCCGGCTCCAGAAGGAGATACTGACTTAGGTGTGGTTTCAAGACTAATCGACACTTGTTGGCAACCCACAGAATATTATACATCAATTGAATTTGAAGCAATTTACCCAAATAAGTTGAACATGGTCAGGCGAATTTGAACAGAGAAAAGTAAATTTGTAGTAACTGCTTGACGCATCTGGTTTATTTGGTTCCATTTCGTTCTCTCTCTCCAACAGTCCCCATTATTTTCTGTCTTTCATCCCTTTAGACTTCATTAATTATTCCTTTGACTATCAGATTCTAAACAAACTTTATCTGATCGATCTAAACTATCTGTGGCACCATTTAGCCGGTCATTCCTGATCACTGGTTCATTAGTTAGTGTGATTCACCATCGTGTTAATCCAAAAAAAAACTTTGATGTTCATCCCTTCAAACACGCAGTTTTGTTCATAGTGCGCTGATGCGGTAGGGTTACCACACTCTCCCTGCAAGTCAAAAGGTTACAGGTCATACTTCTGTACTTTTTCGGACCTGCACCACGGCAAAGTGAGGCGAGAGTTTACTTCCCCCACCCCGTTTAGCCTGGACCAACGAGAGCTGTAAGGCGATAACGACAAGAAGACTGTTCAAAACAAAGTCACGTAAACAGGAACTTTATAAGAAGCTCTGATTCACGTGGAATGCTGTGGATGAATGAATGTTTCCAGTTGAGGACTAAAACTAAATCAAAGTGTTAATTGCTGTGGAACGAAAATATTTGTCATTAAACTAGCTGATCGTTGGTCCCCCTTGAACTTCAGTTCATGTACAGGTAGAATACATTGATCGTGAAGGACAGTAATGCGGCCACGCGGGAAAGAAGCGCATGGTGTTTGTTTAAACATTTTGCATTTTTTCTCTTGGTGTCTTAATGACATTGACAAATTTGTTACTATAGTCTACCGTTAACATAACGAGTTTTTCCAAGCCATACTTTTCTAATGTTGCACATCGTGCCTAATGTTTTTTTTTAATTTCTTTTTGTGTTTTTGTTATAGCAGGTGATAATCTAGCAAAATGTTGCATTTTCCCATGCAACAGTTGGTGATCTACATGATTCCTTATAATCAAACCTTTCTCATACTAAGGTGCCCCAGTTTTTTTCTCGATGGAGTGTTTAAATAGTATTCTCGTGACACGACAAGGACCATAGAATGTCTCGACAGGAATATAAAGCTGAATCGATACTAAGTTCCAGATGGTACCTCGAAAATTTTTCTTTCTTTACCATGACTACCGAGGCGTCCCATACATATAACACAGCCTGGGGTTAGATCATCTTCAAATTCTTAACGGGTCCACGTTATCTTCGGAATTTCATCACAAGGGGTAAAAAAATGTGACAACGTTTTAAAAAGGGAGATAGATATATTATTCTGAAGAGTGAATTCTTCATTAACTGCCTGCAGCACACCTTCGTCGTACCTGAATTCCCTTGCATACCATTTTTGAGAAAATTGAAATACTAGGATGCTATCTAATGTATATTTTAGTGGTGACTGTTGTATTTTTTCAGGTCAAAAACATGTACAGTAATTCATTCAATCTATTGAACAAAAGTGCATTGTTGCTTACACATGAGCAATTGGAAAAAGTGGTCCCGCTTGCTTGGGAACTTTTGTTGGAGACGGAGGAAGAACTTGTCTCCAGTACCGGTGAGTCAATTTATCCTCCCCACATTTAATAGATGCTCATTATGAAGCTCACATCATTCCCTGCAAAAATAAACACATTTGGCCATTGTTTCATCCGTTTTGTTTCCGATGGCAATCAAAATGAACCATCAATAGTTCTTAGATTCGTGTGTTCAGCAAATCTGTCCATTTCTTCACCTGACTGCGTACAGTTCCTTGCTACAACAAATAGTTTTATTTGAACAAAGGGTTTATAATAAGGTGTTTTTTAGGTTCTAGACCTTGTATATTGGGTCAAGTTCTCAATCAACACCAAGGTCTTCGTGGTTAACTCAGCTCACTGGGAAAAGTGAGCTGAAAAAATGGACAACCCCAGTCAACTATTCTGTAAAATGATTCTGTTTCCCATAGGGATACGAACACAGGATTTGCTTAGTATGAAACTGTAGTCTAACTGTTAGCCACCTTATTCTCTCAGAATTCGAAGGCAGTCGGGAAGACCAGAAAGTTTCGGATACCTAACAGTTTAACAGGCACCTCATGATATTCATACCACTTGCATAGGTCCGACATTTTGACACGGTCAAAGTTACTTGGGTTGAAAACAAGAGTTTCAATCCAGAGCGGGTTCTCAAGATCCAGTGACTGATTGTTTTGAACTCCGTTTGAAGGATGTCAAAACAATTTCTTTAAACAAGAAGATACAACATAAGCTACTACTAACTATCGTAGAGAACCGAATTAACCAAAATGACCACCGGATGAACGATGGAGTGGTCGGATGATTGACGCAAAACGCTGATGACCTCCCTAGAGTAATGATCAACCCGTTTAGACGTCTGTTTCACAGGTCACAGTACTGACGGATTGATCTTGATTTTGAATTTCGCCGAACTGATTGGTGCTGATTTCTTGTCTTCCCGGAGAAATCATAATCTACACCTGAGGAGGACTAATATGCTGTGCATTCAACTCTGGTGAATTCTATTCGAACGAAATCGCTTAAAATAATTTGGCTTGGAATTTGTATCAATGAAAGCGGTATTCTTATGTTTCATCTGTTTTGATTTCACCGCGAAGGATGGTGACACAGTGCCTGGATAGTCAAGGTTTGATCCAAGGTGTTTGAGAACCGTTGAGTTAATATAGTACAAGCCATTGGTTTGTTCGTTGAGCTTGGCAGTTTGCTTGAAAGCGCTTCATCACTAATCGAGGTAACATCATCAGTGCGTTGTTAGGGAGCGTGGTGGAGCGAAGCGCACAAACATCAACCCACTACTGCGCCCCCTAACATCTGACTGATGGTGATGAAACGTTTGCAATCAAATTGTTCAGCTCAGCGAACAGCTACTTGTGCTACCAACATTCTCCTCTATGGCAAGCTCTGCTGTGCTAGTCATTGCAGGGCACATGAACGCTTGGAGACATTGTCAGGCATGTCCCAGTCGCGTCCTCAATGGTGCTCGTGCATCCAAACTGTTGCCCTCAACGCATAGCTCCCTTCTTGGTCTCCTGGATGAGAAGTCCACTGACTCATCAATTATATCAGCTGGTACATCTAGTGCATAGCTATCCACCCCACGTTTCCGAATCATCGGCAATCGAACCTGTGATATCCGGATCCACTCTACATTAAGTACGCGGTTTTTACAGATGATGATGCTGTCGCTGTTGTTCGAACGTGAACATTTTCGCACGTCCAAATGTGGTCATTTCGACGCGTTCAACCTGAACTGATGGAGTGGTGACCACATACTCGATACGCATAACTGAACAAAACTCGAGTCCGCTGCTCTCCCGCTTTGCTCATCAGAGCAATCGCACCATGACAGGATAACTGTTCAGGCACGCGTGAATATATAAGTGCGAATTTGAGAATTCTTGCGACTATCTACAAAGCCAAATCCATCGGATGTCTTGTACCGACGCTGAACAAATGTAAAGCAGTTTCATAAGTTGATTTAACATGATTTCCAACAAAGTATTGGGATCTAGAGAATTGTTGGGTTGTCCCCTCCCCCAAGGCGCGGTCGCATTGTTTTCATTTGACTGTCTCTAAATCTTTTCACCTGGACACAACCAGTGCGGAATTTCGTCCATTAGTACGTGGTATAGTGGAAGATCATTCGAATCGGTACACATAGTCCTGTATGGGAAATTCGAATGAGAAATTAGACTCTTCAGAGGAGGTATGTGTACAAGTACACACATATTTGACGTGCGCAATAACTAACTAGACGAACTTTATCATGCATTCAGGAATGACCACATACAAGACAGTGGATCATCATTTGGTGGGAACTTCATGCGAAACACTTGATAAGAGGAGCATTCACACGTCACAACACCTCAACGGCATTGCATGGTAAAAACGTTTGGTCTACAGCTGTTCATCTAAGCCAAATGAGTTTTGTGAGCTTTTTTTCATTTCAGCTTGTTTCATTCTGTTCTGTGGTGTCCGGTCAGCCTCGCTGGTCCAAGAACTGCTGCTTGCGGAGATGCAGCACAATTCTGCCCATCAACGTCTGAATGCCATACTCAGGTAAGCCAATCAGTTTTCATCGCTGTCCCTTTTTCATTTTCACCTGAACTCTGTGCTGGGTTGATAGATATATGTCTGTTTAGTGAAGAACTTTGCCATTGTCCAGTAGGCTACAGGGGACCCACAGACAGCATTCGGATTCACTGCCCACAGTTGAAATAAACCGAATTAGCCGGCAAAACCTAATAACGATAAATCTCGTACCAAGCCATCCGTTTTGACACAGCTTGCGTGTACAAAAGTGGAAGAGTTTCGGTGCAAACATCTTTCTTAACAGACTAATGCTTGGACCATGACCCTATAAACTAATCAGAATAAAACAGATACGTTGCCATATCACGTCGATTTGTCGAAGTGGTCTCCCGAGCAACTATTCATATAAGTATTGTGAAAGAATGGAAGGCTCGAAATAGCACATAATTAACCAACCTAGTAGTTCACAAAATGGTTCGATAGAGTTGATCAGTGTTAGCGTTGACGTCATGGGACTTATTCTATTTTGATCTCGAATTCCTGATACAGGGGAAGTTCGTTACTACTACAATCAAGGCGATCACCTGTTCTTCATATGGTAATTGTTGGACTAGCCACTTATACAATTAACACGAGCCTTCATTGACTAGTTTTTACAACATTTCAGGCCAGATCTTGAACCTGTGGCAGAGACATGATGCAACCAGAGCTGATGTAGAACATTGAGCGTAGTTGCTGCAGTGAGGAGGTCCTGGACTGGAGAACAGAAGCTTTTCTGCTACGATGAGAATAACTCCAGCGAACTTCCCATTAGACCCGTCTATTTGTTTAAAAATCATACTGTTTAGACATAACGCCTGATGTAGGCCAGCAATAAAAGAGTAGCAATTACATAACATCTAAGACCTGACAGTTAGCTAGACTCAATTGAGTCAATGAGTAGGGCACACCAATCACATCGCCTGTGCAGACGTGAAAATTCAGATGCGTCCAACGTGCGTTGGTGGAGTAGTGGTTACACACTCGCCTCGCATGTCAGATATCTGGGGTTCAAATCCCGGCACGGCCATTGGATATGCACTGCTGATGAGCTCTAATAAGAGCGAAACTCGAGTCCAGTGCTTTCCTTCGGTGTGGACTCACCGGAATAATTACGCCAGAACAGGAGGACGACCGTTCAAACGAGTGGTGTGGTTATGAATAAACTCAATTAGTTGGGTTTTCCGGAGGTCCGATTTTAGCCTCAGCATGAATAGTAAGCAAGGTCTGAAATGGTTGCTTCCGTCCTAGAGACCGATTCGCATTGAATCTGTTCAACTACGCTAAAACTAAGCACAGCAAAATTATACTTTCTTCTAAACTGTTGACGAATCTATGTCGAATGAGTCAGTGAGTGATATATCCGTCCGAAATGGGGAATCGGTATTTGCGGACCTGGCATCACTTAGCTGTCCATGGTATCACCAGTTTTGACAGTTTTTGTCAAAGTGGTTCGCTTCTAGCTACGCAAAAACGGCAACCAATCCATGGTGTTTCGTGAATCCAACTTCAATATGTCGAAACACCATAGGTCTGAGTTTCTGCAAATGTTCGTTCTAAGCGGCCAAATTGAGGGAAAAACACCAACGAAGTATAATACTCAGACAAGGAAGTGGAACCGTGAGAAATCAGCTCGACTATATATTGCCATCTCGAGGAAAGTTTTTATGACGTTTATACTTTCATCCAGTGTCCGGATAACAGTTGGACTGATGCTTTGCTTTGGAACAATCGAAAATTCAGTTTCATGATCATAAACCTTTCTGTACACATGCTGTCCCGGTCCAATCCATTATGTTGAGATTAGATTCAGTTGCCTCGGGAGACAAAAGAGGAACGACATACAGATGGAGCGATTGGCGTCATCCAATGCATTTTTTGGTTCATTCTAATCATATCAAGAAATGACAACATTAAGAGTAAGATTATCTGCATATGCAGATCAAATAGTGCAGGCTTTTTCGAGTTATCAGCTGAAGAGGATACCGGTTTATATGCGACCGCATCACGCTTAAAATGGTACTGTTCTCTATCAGTGTAGGTGTATTCAAAAATCATACAAAGGGGCAATTATTCTGGACCACAAGGAGACAAGGAAATATCCTACACAGAAAGAGCTTCACTTTCTACCAGGAAGGTCAGCTTCCTGAAGGACATATTGGCACGCCCGAACCCACAGAATCATGACAATAACCGCTGAAGCGTTGAAAGAAATTCTGCTGCAACAACAAAACCAGTTTGAAAGCGAGCGATTACGTTTGGTAGAAACATTGACGCAGCAACTGAAAATTCAATCACCAAATTCCGCTCCAGATACAAATTCAGTCGACTCGATCGCCAACAGCATCACTGAATTCCATTATGACCCTGATGCCGGCCTAACTTTCGATTCGTGGTTCAGACGTTACGAAGATGTTTTCCAAGTCGAACTGAAGCACAAAGATGATGCCTGGAGAGTACGCTTATTGCTCAGAAAGCTTGGCACAATGGAACACACACGGTATTCCAACTTTATCCTGCCTAAGAACACGCGAGATCTCAGTTTTGACAAAACCGTGCAGCAATTTTCAATGATTTTCGGTGAGCGTTCGTCCTTGTTTAATGTTCGCTACCAATGTATGGAACTGGTGAAAACGGAATCTGAGGACTACATCACGTATGCCGGTAGAGTCAACCTTGAATGCGAACAATTCAAGTTATCTACCATGACGGAAGACCAGTTCAAGTGCCTTATCTTCATATGTGGTCTTCAGTCGCATTTAGACAGTGATATCAGGGCGAGACTACTGAGAAAGATTGAACAAACTCCCGAGATAACGCTGCAGTCAATTACCCATGAGTGCCAGCGCCTTTTAAATCTTAAGCACGATACGGCCATGTTGGAGAAGCCCTTATCCAACCCTGCGTCCAACATTGCCAAGACGACATCGAAGCACCCTCCCGTGGTGACAAATTCGAAAGGAGGAAAATCTCCTTCAGCATGCTGGCAATGCGGCGAATGGCACTTTGTGCGATTGTGTCCGCACAAAAAGCACAAATGTTCAGTGTGCAATCGACGTGGGTACAAGGAAAGCCAGTGCCGGACGCGGAAAGCTAGCCAAAGACACAGTCAGACCCGGAGGTCACGAAGTAAACGGAGCCAATCAGAACCACGTTTTAACGCAATACTTGCAACATTCGATAACCAGATCGATGCTCGTCGCAGGTATGTCACAATCAGAGCAAGTGGGAGCACAATTCGATTGCAGCTCGACACGGCTTCTGATATTACGATTGTTTCCCGGCGCACCTGGAGGAAGATCGGATCACCAAAACTCAGACCGACAATCAACACTGCCAGAAATGCTTCAAGTGGTAAGCTTCAACTACTTGGTGAATTTGATTGTGAGATGGAGATAGCAGGCCACCGTGATTGTGGTATTGTCTATTTTGCTGCTTGTGAGCTTAATCTCCTGGGCATAGACTGGATCGATCACTTGCACATTTCAACACTGCCGATCGAAAACTTATGTTCATCAACACCGACAGGAGGGAAGCCAACATTCCGGCCTGGCAACCGTGTGTTTGTGAGGGACTATCGCCCCGGGCACCGAAGATGGACTGTTGGAGTCGTCCTCAAAAGAATCGGTCAGGTGATTTACAGCGTCCAACTGGGATCATTGATATGGAAACGACATGTCAATCAATTACGGCCGACTCAGTGCCAGATCCCAAAGGCGGAAGAACCGTCACTAGACCTCAACCTACT